TAGATGTTCCTCATAGATGTTCCTGATGCATGCCGTCTCTCTCCTCCTTTATAGTCCTCCTCCGCCAATCCCAACTCGGCTGCCCACACGCCGAGTACGCTGCTCTCCAATCAGGAGCAAGTCCTACAGTTAATTGGTTGAACTGGAGGCAGCTGTGCGGAAGCTGTTTACTTCTCTCCCAGCGCCATATTGTGGGAGAGCAGATGCATAGAATAGGTCTTAATTCCAGTAACAGTCTAGTCCGGTTTGCTCCCCACATTATGAAAATTGCCTGCTCATTGCATTTATTGGCATGTTTTTCTTTTGTGCCTTTTATATTGATTTGTTAGTACCTTATAATATTAATATTGTAAAGTAAATCTCTGTCTGCCGTATATGTTGCATATGGTTATAGTTTTTTTGGAAAAGGTTTACTTTAATTTGAAAGGCAGAGTGGCAGAGATCTTATATCCACTGGTTCATTTTCCAAATGGCCATGATGGTCAGGGCTGGGCCAGGCCAAAGCCAGGAGCAAGAAGCTTCATCCTGGTCTCCCACGTGGGTGACAGGGGATCCAAGCACTTGAGCCATCTTCCACTGCTCTCCCAGGCACATTGGTATGGAGCTGGATCAGAAGTGGAACAACCAGGGCCGGCACTGTGGCCTAGTGGGTAGAGATGCTGCTTGCAGTGCCTACATCCCATATGGGCGCTGGTTCAAGTCCCGGCTGCTCCACTTCCAATCCAGCTCTCTGCTGTGGCCTGGGAAAGCAGTGGAAAATGGCCCAAGTGCTTGGGCCCCTGTATCTGTGTGGGAAACTCAGAGGAAGCTCCTGGGTCCTGGCTTCCAATCAGCCCAGCTCCAGCTGTTGCGGCCATTTAGGGAGTGAACCAGTGGGTGAAAGACCTCTCTCTGTCTCTCTCTCTATGTAACTCTGCCTTTCAAATAAACAAATAAATGCTTAAAAAAAAAAAAAAAAAACTGGAACAACCAGAACTCAAACCAGGGCTCTGATATGGGACACTGGCATTGTGAGCAATGGCTTAAGCCACAACACCAGAAATAGACCTACAGGTTGTTTGTTTGTTTATATGTAAGTTTCATATTTTTACCCACTCATGGGTATCAGTCTTTTCCTGTATGACTTCTACAACGCATGGTCTGCTTAGAGCTACCTTTCCCACTCTGTGAGTACAAAAACAACTTTGTTCAAGTTCACTAGCACTTGGAGTCAGTGTTGGACTTCTGTTTTCCTTGAGTTGAACCCAAAACGGTTGGAGTGGGTGTTGCTGCAGTTTCTGGGAATGGAGAGGAGGAGGGAAGAGGGCAGGACCTCGCCGTGGAGTGAAGACTCTGGCTAATTGGCTGGCTCTGGTGCAAGACGAGCAGTGAGTCAGACATGCAGACTAGGACACAGGTGATGCCAGTGACCAAGGCCCCTTCGGGACTGGTCTGTGTCCCTTCTGTTCAGACCCTAGCCAGCATGGTCACTGCTGCCGCAAGCCCGTCTTCGTCGGCCCCCCTGAAGACAGCAGCGTCGCCCGCAGAGAAGGCTGCAGGCTTTGCCTGCTGTGTAGCTGGGAACAGCCTAGATTCATTCTGATCCGGGGAGAGCGTGGTGGGCAAGACTGGCTTTGCCGTCAGGTATCCCCAAGTCCAAACTTTGTGCCACACTTAGCTGCTTAACCTCGCCAGGGTTCCGTGTTCCTTGTGTGAAACGGGCATAAAGCAGTGCGGGAGGCTGTCGGGGAGACTCTACTCCCCGAGGCCCGGCGCCCTCTGCGGCTCAGAGTGGACTCTGTCTGTGAGGGTGAGGACGGGGGCCGTGCGCTGGGTCAGAGACGGCAGTCGTGCGACTCAGCTGCTGCATGTTCTCAGGCGAGCGCTGCAGCTTCTGGTTCTGTCCGCAGGAACTTCCACGTCTGGAACGAAGGCTGGTTTGTACGGACGGACCTGGGCACCCAGTATGATGGATGGCAGGTGCTGGACGCCACTCCCCAGGAGAAGAGCCAAGGTAACCCTCTGGTGGCCCTTCCTGGACTCAGCGCTGGGTCGCATGCCTCTCAGTTACACACAGTAGGACTGCAGTGCAGGGGGCAGCCCCAGAGTCCTCTCCCTCCCCAGAATGCACCATGGGAGCCAAACAGAAATGTTTAAAAAATGCATTTGCATTTGTTTGCTGCTGCAGATCTCCTGGCCTGTGCCAGGTGGCGAGGGACAGGCACCTTCTTCTGCCAGTCAAGATCTACCCACACCACCGCCAGCAGCCTGGCGCTCCCACTGCAGAGCCCTGTGGGTGCCTACGGCCTTGGGGACTCCGTCCTCATGGCCAGCTCTGCTCCAAGCCTCCAGGGTCACAACCACAGCCGCTCTCACATTCCTGTATGTCCCACGCTGAAACAAACTCTCCTGCAAGCAGATCACCAGGACCCTGTCCCAGGCCTGCGCTCCGCCTCCGCCCTCACTCCCCCTCCTCTCCCATCAGGCTCAGAAACCACTCCCCCTCTCCCCCGACCTCTGCAGCCTGTCTTGTCTGATACCTTCATTCTGAGTCATTCCTTTCCGACATTAAAACCAAAGTGTATAAAGTAAAATACTCACATAGTTTAGACCTTTAAGTTGTTCCAAAAGGACTTAGTCTGACCCCCACGTCCAGCCCCTAGCCTGCTTTCTAGAAGCAGTATGTGTTGCTAGGTTTGCGGGTTGGGAGATATCTTCCAGATATTTTCTAGGCCATTGTTTTTTAGATTTTTCCTTGCGACCAAATTGGTTATCAGATCAAGTCAGTGGGTTGTGACCATCACTTTAAGAAGTGCAACTAAGCGGAATGCAATGGAAAAGGGAGAAAAAAGAAAATTAAATAAAATATCAGGGTGCCTTAGGCATAGTGAGAGCAGGTTCTGGCCCATGAAACGTGTCTCAGTGTCACATGTGTGTCAGCATGTCAAATCTTTCTTTCTAGGAGTCATGGTTAAAAAAAAAAAAAAAACTGAAAGTCACTGTTCCAGGCATATAGAAAATGGAGTGTGCACGTGTGTGTCAGAGTATGTGTGTGTGTGAGTGTGTGTGCCTCTTCTGTTTTGTGAACACATGGAATGATGCTCTCCTTTCGATTCTGCTCTATTTCAGCAGCACACTCCCTAAGTGAAACTCTGTCATCTCTCTCTCTGTTTCAATCCATCACTTGCTCCAGCTGCCTGGCTGTCTGTGCTGGGGGCGGGGGGGGGGGGGGGGGGCATGGTCCCGGCCTAGGAGCTTGGAGCAGCCGGAGGTCCCCAGGGCTGAGTGTTCAGGGCAACTCCCAGGAGCAGGGGGGTGGCCAGACTTTCCTCTTGAAGAGGCAGAGCCAGGGCAGTGGGAACCCACAGGATCGGGCAGGATCGAGCTGGTCCTGGATAGAGCTGGCATTGGGCAGGTGCCCTTGCAGATAGGTGACAGTGGCCTTGGAAGGCAGTGCCTGGGGCAGACGGTGGGGGCAGAAGAGGCTGTGGCAGGGGGTGGGGGGCAGTCTCCCAGAGGAGCAGGCCATGGACGGGCCTGGCACCAGCACGCACCCAGTCTCTGTCTCTTGGCCCCAGGGGTCTTCCAGTGTGGCCCCTCCTCGGTGCACGCCGTCCGAGATGGGGACGTGGACCTGGACTTCGACATGTCCTTTGTCTTCGCGGAGGTGAACGCAGACCGCATCACCTGGATCTATGACACCGCCAGCAACAGCCAGAAGCAGAACTCCCTGGACACTCGCTCCATCGGCAAGTACATCAGCACCAAGGCGGTGGGCAGCAACTCTCGCGTGGACATCACGGACAAGTACAAGTACCCAGAAGGTAGGAGGGTGTCGATGGGGCGGAGCCACAAGGGGCCCCTTGGTGAGAGGGTGGCTTTGAGGGCAGTGAGGAGCAAAGCCTCGTCCTCTCCCCACCCCACCCCCATTCTCAGCTCTATCCGAACAGTGGGGCTTCCCTGTGGCCTGCGGGCAGCTCTGGTGCCCCTGGAAGTTTGCTGCAGGGCCCAGGCAGCACCCTGCCATGCCCCGTGTCCCGTTCTCCGTTGCACAGCTGGGGTGACAGCACCATGACTGCACATCCCAGGGCGAGACCAGCCCTGCTAGGAGGTGTCCAAGGGCTTCAGGGAAGATTTCTACACCAGTCCGCTCCCCAGCCTCTGAGAAACACAAGCAGCAAGAGCCTTGCATGGAGAATGGCCCCAGAGACCCAGAGATGGGGCTGGTGCCACATGCACCCAGAGGCCCCCAGAGAGGCCAGATGAGGCGTGAGAGTGCGTAAGACAAGCCCCGGGCCCCCACAGCCGCCTCGGAGGACCAGTTGCCATGAGGCTGTCTTCACTCCAATTACGTTTGCCGCTCGGAAGCGGCTTTGATGGTTCTCAAGGGTGACCAAAGTTCTGCGTTTGAAGGTGAAGTTCATTTTTCAGACACAGCCAAAAATGCTTGGGCGCGAGCCTCCAGCAGGCAGGCCATGGTCACTCGCTCCTTCATGGGGTCAGCATCTCACTATCCCATGTGTTTGAAATGACTGATCCTCACAGTTGGTTCCAGGGGGCCAGGGGCCCACAGCACCCCCTTACCGGAAGCGTTGAGTAAATCTCTGGCGAGTGCTGGCTGCTGGCGCCGGCCGGAGCTGACCCAGAAGCCAAGCGCAGGAGGTGGGGTCTGACTGGGAGGGACCCCTCTGAGCGCTGGTGCTGGACGACACTGGGGGCCAACTCCAGGATACTCTGATCGGTGGCCTCGATTCGGCCCCCATCTGCCTCTGCAGGCCGTTCCTGTGGGTGGGTCGGTGGGCTGGGGCTTCTCTCAGCCAGCCTGGGGAGCCCCCCCCCAGTGCTGCTGCAAGCGGGGGCTGGGCGGGGGAGGGCGGGGCCAGCACAAGGTGCTTGTGTTGAGCAGCATGGTGGTGTAGAAAGCAGTGTTGGGGGAAGATGTGACCTGAGGCGGAGGGCGAACCCCAGTCCCGCCACTCATCACGGTGCAACCTGGAGCAGGCTCCTTCTGTCTCTGTTTGCATCTAAATGGGCACAAGGAGCCAAGCACAGTGCCCAGCCATAGAGAGGACATGGGGATCTGTCACTCTCCACGTCTGGGACACGCTGGGACAGTGGCCTCCGAGATGACTGCTTCACCGGCACTGCTTCCCTGGTGTATGGCCCGTGGGGTTCCTCAATACTTCCAGACCCTGGTGGTCCCGTCCCGGCAACATGTCCCAAGCGATGGACCTGGTGTGGCCTCAGGGCAGGGAGGGGCGGGGGCTCCCTTCGGGACCGCCGGCAGCGCGCCAGCCCCTGCGTGCCTGAAGTCGCCCGGCTCTTCCTACTTAATGATACCAGCTCATCTCTGAGGGATGAAAAGCTCATAAAATGGGTTGCTAAGCATTTACGCAACAGCAGCGCCACGGGGAGAGAACAGCAGCAGGAAGCTGGGTCTTGAGTAAGCCCAGAAGTTGACCTATATAGGCATTGAGGCTCTGGGCTTCATTGTGCAAACACACCTGCTTTGAGGTCCCAGGCACAGGAGGAGGCTCGGGTCCTGCGCGGCCATCAGCCCTGGGCGTGGACCTACAACTCAGCTAAAGAATGGAGAGGCACCAAAAGGAACCCAGCCCGCCAGGAGCTGTGCGCTCGGGTAATCTGGCTGCTGCCTCCTTTGGAGTAGGGCGTGTGGGAGGAAGCTGGGGACTGAGCCCTCTGCCTCTGACCCCTAGAGTGGCCTGGAGCCGGGACTCTAACCTGATGGACTCGGGCGTGTTGGCGTCCGAAGTCTCTGCCAGTTGTCGCCCAGAACTTACGGGAAGGGCTCGATGAGTTGCAGGGGGACTATTATGGGTCATCTGGCACCTTAATAATGTCCCGGGCTCGCTAGGGAAGCCGCGACAATGTATATGGTCTGCAGGTGTCAACGTCTGTCCGCCTTCCCCCATCACCAGCCCCGGGTTCAGGGCTCACAGCTGGCTACTCAGCTCTGCGTGCCCCGAGAGCCCTGCTGGGGTACGCCACCCTCCTCTGTGGCCCCTCCTGCCGTCACCCTCGGCAGCTCCCACCGCCTGGTGGAGAGTCAGAAGCCCGGGCTTTTAGTCACCCTTGCACTTCTGATGCCGGGAACCTCTCAGCAGTCTCATCACGGCTGGGAGCCAGACCGTGAGACAGCCTTGCTAACTGGCACAGACCGGGTGTCACTGTCGGGCCCTCGGAGCGCCTTCGGGAGCAGAGCAGGGGGCCATGGTGCAGTGCTTTGCAAGTTCAAATGCAGTCAGTTCTAAGTCCCAGCCCTGCTTGCTGCTCGTGGCTTCCTCCTAACCTTTTCCAGCTCTGTTTTGTGATTTATTTTTAAAATACCTGCTCATTCGTTAAGTCTCACCAAAGACGATTTATCAAAAAGCACAGAACAGTTTACATGTAACTTAATTAACAGAAGCCAGCGATCAAGCCAGCGTCGTCGTGTGTAAGCCATCTGCTTTCCCGACAGCTTCTGGGAAATGCAGAGCTGGTGGGAGAAGCATGAACCAGACCCCAGCGGGTCGGTGACCCTCCCAGGAGGAGGCTGAACGGAGACCTGGGAGGGGGATGCTCGCATGGGGCCACGCAGGGGGGTGGCCGTTGACCCGATGCGAGTCCCAGGCCAGCCCCCAGGCAGGGCGCCGTCTGCACCGCTGCAATGTTTCTGTCTTCTCCCAACACACAGGTTCCAGTGAGGAAAGACGGGTATTCCAGAAAGCTCTGGGGAAACTCAAGCCCAACGCGGCATTTAGCCCCACATCAGCAAGGGATTTGGTTGAAGAGGAGCGGTCGCCCAGCATCTCTGGTAGGTTCAAGATCACCGGTGTCCTGGCAGTGGGCAAAGAGGTCAGCCTGGCCCTGCTGCTCAAGAACCTGACCAGGGAGAAGAAGACGGTGACCGTGAACATGACGGCGTGGACCATCGTCTACAACGGCACACTGGTGCACGAGGTGTGGAAGGACTCCTTCACCGTGGACCTGGACCCCGAAGCAGGTAATTCGCCCCGGAGCTGGGGGAGCCCCAGGGACCCAAGTGGCCTCAGGTGGCCCAGCCGCCCAAGGAGGGGGCGGTCCGCGGCGCCTGTGGTTACACCTTGGTGCCTTGGGAGCTGCTTTCCCTGTGAACAGCACAGGTCAGGGTGGTGCCAACCCAAATCCTCTTCTGCCTGGAGGGAGTCTCCCTTACAGATGTCTGCCGCCTCCCAGAGCCTGCGTGGCCTGTCCATACAGGTGACCTCTCGTGACCTCCCAGAGGTCAGTGTCCACGGGACAGCGACTGAAGCTGAGGCTGAGAGAGCTGGACGACCGGCTTCAGAGGCTGGGTGTCAGAGCCAGGACGGGGCCGTGTGGGGTGCAGCTCCTGGGTTTCCTGGTGCTAACTCCAGGGCTACCTCTCCCTCATGCCACGCCCCCACCTCTGCCCCACAGTAAACCACTTTCCAGGTTTGACCCTGGATGGGCTACATCAGCCTAGAGTCTCCCCTGAGCCCCGCCATAGCTGCCACAGGGTGGGTGGAGTCTCTGGATTCCTGGCCGGTTTTTGCGGAGGTCCGAGCATTTGCAGGGCGGGCAGTGGGGGCAAGGACGCCTTGGCCCTGGGGAGCACGATGGGGACTGGCGTGGGTGGGGCAGAGGCAAGCTGGGGCCACGCGGAGGGATTAGCGCACAGGTGTTTCCACATGGGCAGCATCCTGCACATCGGGATGAGAAGTCGGGATTCACAAAGCAGATTAGGGAGGGAGGAGTAGAGCTTTGCCTCCCATAAAACCTGCTTCATTACGCGGCCCATCTTGCAGGAATTCTAGCTGCAGAGAAGTGCAGGTGTGTCACCCCTGGCGGAAGGCAGCAGCCCCAGCAGCCTGTCTGCCCGCAGACAGCCGCAGGTCTCAGCGGCAGGGACAGCCGCCCTGCCGGCAGCCAGCTGCCTTCCCAGCTCAAAGCAGAGCTCTCCCTGGAGACCGAAGATATTCACGGGAGGGAAGCGGTGTTTAAAGCTCCTTCTGCCAGAGCCAGCAGAGTGGCAGGAGAGGGGAGGAGGAGGCTGGTGAGGGGCCGGGGGGGGGGGGGGCGACGCTGTCTCGTGCTTGCTGGGGACCCTGGATGAGTCCGCCCCCTCTCCCGGCTGCAGCGGTTACTGACGGAGAGTCAGCTGTTCCGTCCACATTCAGGGCGGAGTCCTCAGTGCAGAAAGCAGAGGCGGCCTCTTTCCTGTGGCCCTAGCCTCCAGGAGCCTGTGCCCCTGGGGTGCTGGGGCGCCCCGCGGAGCGCAGGAGGGAGAGCAGTGCCAGGACCAGCAGAGAAGGGAGAGGGCTGCTCGGCCTGCGGGGTCAGAAGAGGGGCCTTACAGCCCGGGGAGGGGCGACGCATGGAGAGGAGCTGGGAGGGGCACTGCACCTGGGGAACTGTGCAGGTCAAAGCATGGAGGTGAGAAATACACATAGGTCTTTGAAGGGGGAGGCAAGCTGGGCTCAGGTCAGGCCAGGCTGAGGGGTGGAACCTTAGTTCCCAGGCAGCAGGGAGCCATGGAAGATTTTGGAGTGACAGAGAGAGCAACGGCATGATTTAGAAAAACCTGCAGTCTTGCGGGGCTTGGTGGGACTGGCACGTGGATGGCTCAGGCAGGAGAGGCCTGTGACAGGGAGGTGGCTCCGGATGTGGTGGCCATGCACTCGGGCTTACGGTGGCCAGGGGAATCCTGAGCATTTATTTGGACAATGCCCCACTTCCCTTCCTAGTTCTTGATGTGTTGTCGTCATTACTGCTATTTGGTCCTTGGGCAGTCTGCTAACATGGGTGTCCTTGGCCCCACCCCTTAGGAGGGACCTCACCCCCTCCAACACTTTTCCAGAGTGGGGAAGAAGCAGTTACAGCCTCAGGCCCTGTGAGCCCATCCTTTTGGGCATCTGCCCACTCAGCCAGGCTCCTGCTGCCTCCCTGGGCCCTGTTCTGGGGCCCACCTGGCACAAGGGGGAGGTCCCGGTGGACAGGGCTCAGTGGGCACCTGGATGGCACGGGGACACTCCGCCAGCCCACACCTGCCTGGCCTGGCGTCTCACCTAGTGTACAGGAGCCATCCTCACTCCCTCGTGCTCTGTTCCGCCCCTGCTTCTCCTTCCAGAAACTCAGCATCCTGTGACGATCTCCTACGCTCAGTATGATAAGTACCTCAAGTCGGACAACATGATCCGGACCACTGCCATCTGCAAGGTCCCCAAGGAAGCCGAGGTGGTGGTGGCGCGGGACATCATCCTGGACAACCCCACCCTGACCCTGGAGGTAAAGGAGGGGGAGGGGCGCCTGCTCGGCCAGCCCTTCCGCCCCGCCAAGCACAGCCTTTCCCTCTGGTCTCCGCTCCAGCCCAGCCCCTGCCAGCTCGGTGAGCCTGGAACTCTGCTCAGGCCAGATGCACGTGCACGCTCGCCTGGCGCCTTCCCCAGTTCTAGTTCTAGACCCGCTGGGGCTGGAATCCCCCAGGTCAGCCATGGCGCACAGGCTGTGTTCTGGGCCTGCGTCTGAGAACCACAGCGGGGCCCTGTGCCCGACCTGTCTGTGGGCGGTAGACCTGCACCCTGTTCAGGGAACAGACTAGACATAGGCACAGCTTAGGTGCATCTCTCCCTGCTCCAGACCCCAGAGCCACAGAATCACGCACTCCCAGGAGCCTAGTCTCATGCTCCCCTAGGCTGCCATCACGCCCGAGAGAACAGAGGCCCAGAGAGAAGCCAGGGCCCCCAGCTGTGCCCTGTCCGAGGCCTCCTGGTCATCAGTAGCCAAGACCAACATCTCCAGAGTGGCCGAGAGCAGAGGCTCTTCTCTCTCTCTGCTCTGACTTAGGCCCTGCCTGCTCCTGTCTGCAGGCCCTGTCCCTAGAGCCTGGACAGGTAGGGGCTGGCAGGGATGCAGGAGGTCCCTGGGGTCACTCTGTCCCTTTCTCAGCACCTGTGCTGCCTCCCACCCTGTCCCCGGCCTTCCAGCCACTGGGTGCAGAGCAGAGGGGAAGCCGAGCCCCAGGGAGAAGGAGCTGGTCAAGAGCAGGCCGACAATGGGCAGAGAAGATGGGCCTCCCCTTGGGGTGCAGCTGAGAGCCGCCTGTGCCAGGCCCCATTTGCCTGCTGTCTGCACAGTGAGCACCCTTTCCTGTCCATTCACAATGCCACCAGCTGCAGGGATCCCCCACCTCAGGGGGCAGAGGGACCCAGGGTGCCCACTCTGATGTGGGGTCCCAGTCTCCCACAATGCACCCTTTCAACTTCATGAGTCTGGGCTGTACTTCCCGGTAAGGAGCTGTCCCTTCTCGGGGACCATGAAGCTAGTGCCCAGATGGCCACACGGGGGCAGCAGTGAGGAGTGGTGGCTCTGCCCTTGGGCTGCGTCACCCCAGGGAGAGCTGGTATTGTGTCTGCGCACCACCATTCATCAGCAGTGACTCTGAGCAGGTGCCTTATTTGAGTCTCGATAGCTCCAGCTCTGTCCTGGGCATAATGGGATGTTTCCTTGATTGGCTGTCTAAAAATTCCCTTGTCATATCTGATGCCCCCAGACCTGGCCTTGTCCCCAGTCATACCCCCTCAGAACCCTCCGTCCTCTTCCTACCAGGAAAATTACCTTTATTTGTGCACTCGTTTGGTCATGATCCCCTTCCTGACTGTCAACTCCCAGAGGGCAGGGCTACCCTGTCCAGGACTCAGGACTAATAGCGCCCTCTGCAGGCTAAGGTGTGGGAGTCATGCCATCGACCCCGGGTTTTCGTTCGTCCTGGCCCAGCAGAGCTGCAAGTACAGCCACAGCTTGTCCCCTGCATGCCGCAGCCTCTCCTGCTTCACAGGAAGCTCCCATTTCTGCAGACAAGGACTGGCGCGTCCCCACCCCAACTCCTGAGTCTAGAAACTGACACGGGGTTGCAGCCAGTGCGGCTGTGAAACATGCTGTCTTCAGCTGGTGTTGGAGTGAACTTAGATTCTCCCCGTGATGTGGCGTTCTCACGCCTTTCTGTGGTATTACCTTTCACTCAACACTTGGGTGCGCCATCTTTTGGGTTTCCATCCCAACTCTACTTTATCTTTAAAGTGATATCGTTAGACGGGAGATCAGAACACAACAGGCTCAAAATGCTGCATCGTGGGCCTCCTTCCGGTCTTTTTGAAAGGCACCTGATCTTCCCCTTTGAGAGGCACTCTCTCCTCTGCGTGCGCCGTCAGAGAGTCAGTTCTCGTCTGGACTGAATGAATTCACTCAGGGCTGGGGGGCACCCGTTTTCAAGCTCACAGAGGTGGTCACAGCCGGGGTGAAGTCCAATTCCATCACCTGGCACTCCTTGGCGATTAGCGTGAAGGACCTCAGGCCACAGAATCGGCCTCTTGGTCATCCCGATGGCTGATGTCCTTCAAGTCACTGCCCGTGCCCTCGGGCAGTCAGACACAGGCCGCTGCGGCCGGTCTTGGCTGTAGACGCATTTGCAGATTTGGGTCAGTAGGGCAGCCCTGGGCGCTCTGGTCACGTCCTCCGCAGCTGAGGGGCCTCCTGGGAGGCTGGAGGAAAGTGACACGCACTTGAGCGTGAAGCACTGTCGAGCCTCCCCGGGGCCTGCAGCAGCCTGGGCTGCCCCAGGAAGCAGAGGTCGTCCTTCAGGGCTTCTGAGCGAGGCAGGGAGGTCGTGGCACCCAGAGCCACCGCACAGCGCCCCTCGCCTGCTGAGTCTGAGTGTCCGCGGTGTGGGGTGAGCGCAGCGCCCCAGGATCTTCCATCTCGGGTGCCGGGAGGCCGGCTGGCACTGAGGGGGCTTAGCAGACAGTCCTCCGTTCCTGCACACTCGGACACCTTCCCCATCCCCACGGACTGAGCAGCCGGGTCATGGCCCCCACAGGTGCTGGACCAGGCTCAGGTGCAGAAGCCCGTGAACGTGCAGATGCTCTTCTCCAACCCCCTGGACGAGCCCGTGAAGGACTGCGTGCTGATGGTGGAGGGCAGTGGCCTGCTGCGCGGCAACCTCAAGATCGAGTGAGTCCCGGGCCCGGGCCGGGCAGGCACGTGGGGGCGGCAGAGGGCCCGGCCCAAGCTCCTGGGCAGGGCAGACAGAGCGAGCGCCGGCCTGGGCTCCCTTACTCTTAGGAGGGACTTGGGGCTGCGCTTGCTTTGGGAGCTCAGCAAATATGAACCCTTGGGAAGCCGGGCTCACCAAGCCAAGGGCTGGCCTTCGGGCTCAGCACAGCGTGTCCTCCCCTGCTGTTGGTGCTCAGCGCTGAGGGGACCGGGCGCCCCCCAGAGGCAGCTGGGGGGACTGGAGAAGCAGTGGCCTTTCCAAGCCTCCCCCGAGCCCCGCAGCCCACGGGCCTGTGTATCTCGCATCTGCTCTGATCCGAGCTCTTCCCCACCAGGGTGCCTGCGCTGCGCCCCAAGGAGCGGTCCCGGGTCCGTTTCGAGATCCTGCCCACTCGGAGCGGCACCAAGCAGCTGCTCGCCGACTTCTCCTGCAACAAGTTCCCGGCGATCAAGGCCATGCTGTCCATCGACGTGGCCGAGTGAGGGGCCCTGGCGGCCCCTCCCCCGCACAAACCTGGGACGCGCGGAGCAGGGAGTGCGTGCAAGCGGCGTGAGAGCCCTGCTCGGGCCGTCAGCCTCGGAAACCCACCTCACACCTGCCGGACTGGGACCTCCTGTCTGCAGCCACACCCCCCCCAACGGCCCCGCCCTCCCAGCCCGGACCAGGTCGACCCTGGCCTGTGACTTGATCACTTTTGCACGTCCTCTCCCTGCTGCCTGCTCCATGAGCCCCCCTGGGCCTGGTTCGTACCTCAGGCCCCTCCGTGCCGCAGGACAGGCTGGCCCCTGACCAGAGACTCTCCAGATGGACACGGGAGGACCGGTCTGCACTGAGTGCCGATCCCTGGTCTACACTCGGGACCGTCCCGCTCTGCCCTTGGGCAGCCGCAGGGGCAGGAGACGGTCAATCAGTCACCTGCTGTGGCATTCACATCTTCACATCCCAAATAAATGTTACCGAGCGTTACCAAGCGTGGCCGCACAGCACCGACTCTGCCAAGCCTCTGTTTCGCCTGGGGAGGGAGAGGGGGAGAGGGGCTGGCGCCATGGCCCTCTGGAGAAGGGATGAACTTGGGGACACCTTGTTTTCTGTGTCCCGTGTCCATAGGGACTGGGCTGGTGCTGTGTGGCTGTCGGAAGGGCCACAGACATCCGGGCAAAGCCATGATTAGGGCCTGTCTACAGCATCTGAGTGACAGGGGCTTCAGACTCTGCTGCTGCCAGCCTGGCCTCTGCCCTCCCCATGCCGTATGCCGAGGACAGGCCACCAGGTGCCCCTGCTGCCAGCCACAGCCCTCTCTGCCTTCAAACTCGCCCTGTGGGTTCCTTGGGCCTGGCACCTGACATACTCCGAGCAGGTCCCTTGGCTTTCTGTTGCATGCACTGACCCGTCCCGTTGGGCCAATCTATCTCACTTCGAATGTGAGGGACCAGCGCAGTCCAGGTAGAAGCCTCCGGCAACCCGGACCCTGTCATCCCCTTCTCCTCTTCCTCTCCTTCCTCCCCCACTGTTGCCTGATCCTTCAGAGCTGGAAAAGGACGAGGGAGGAGCCCCAAGACATGGGACAAAGGTCTGCCCCACGGTGCCACTGGAACGTGCAGTGGCCCCTGCCCAGGGCCCAGGGCTCCAGCTTCGGCCCCTGGAGGAAGCTCTGGCTGCCCTGGAAGTGTGCAGTGGTGGCTTCATGACGCTTTGGGGCCGGCCCCTCAGGGGTCCCACTGGCTCAGCGGAAGTCACACTTCCCTGCTGCTCCTCCGCCTGCTGCCTCTCCAGGTGCCCCAGCCTGGGCTTCCCACCTCCAGGACCTGTGGGGGGAAGCCGATGCCAGACTCCATCGGCATTTGCTCTCCCAGGGACGGTCACAAGGCCCCGGCTCTGGCGGCAGAGCAGAGCTGGGCCCTAGCCGTGGAGGCAGACGCTCGCATCCCCTCTCGCGAGAATCCTCACTCCCTGCAGGTGGGTTCCTGGGCCTCGCCGTTAGCTTTGGCTTGGAGATAGCACACCCCATTCCTCCTCGGAGGCTCTGGCCCAGTCCCCCACGGGGAGGGGTGGGGGGGAAGAGACTTCTGCTCTGGCCTCCAATAGGAAGGCAAAAAACCCAGACCTTTCCACTTCCGTCCATGCAAGGCACGCCCCAGATGGCCAGTCCTGGAGCATCAGTGTCACCCACCAGCACCCCCCGGGCACCTGCTTTGTGATCCAGGGATCCAGGCAGATAACAGCCAACAAGCAGCGTGCTCCCTGCCTCTGGCCGCCTCCCCCCAGAGAGCCTCTCCGGAGGCCCAACGTGGAAAATCCATGTAGGTTTCTAATGAACCCCAGGCACAGTCGACTGGTGAGCGCCGTGGCTAATACGTCCTCCATCCCGCATGGGTGCGGAATGGTTTTAGCCATCAAAGGACAGAGCAGCGGGCAGTGGCCTCGGTACCGTGTTTCTTTCAGGGTGGAGGCCGTCATGGTGCAGTGGGAGAGCGAGCCGGCTGCTTGCTGACCCCAGAGTCGGCAGCTGCCGTGCTGGTGAGGGGGCGCTTAGCCGCCACAGCAGGGGCCTGAATTCCAGCAGCAACAGGAAGGGCACTTACTTGTCGCCCATGTGAGGGTCCGGGAGGCAGTTCAGGCATCCATGTTCCTCTCACTGCCCCATGAGTTTCCACAGGTAGCATCCACTGGTGGTCCCACGTGGCCATTCTACCGTAAAGCTTTGATGTCCACAGTCCATCCGGGAGGAAAGGGGGGTGGGGAACAGGTAGGTACCTTCTTTCCCACTAAAGGAACAATGGGTTTTTTAAATTACACACCAAAATCATGCCTTCCACTTCCACTCCCAACCCATTGGCCAGAACCCAGTGACATGGCCACAGCCAGCTGCAAGGGAGGCTGGGAAGTGTGGTCATTGGCTGAGTGGTCGTTTACCATCAGAGAGAGGGTAACAGGCGAGACACAGGAGCCGCTGGACTGGAGTGGTGCTCCCTTACACAGGAGCAGAGCCCCTGCAGGAGCCGGGGGGCTGACTTAGAACTGAGAGGAGCAGAGGCCAGGCTGGGTCACATGCCCGATCCTTCTTCCCACGCGTATCCGTTAGGTAAGCACCACACCTGCCCAGGAGCAGGGAGAAGCTAGCAGCACATCTCGGGGGGTGGGGGAGGAGGGCATTGCTCCTTACAGAAACCGAAAGTGGCTAAGGCCTTGCTCCTTCCTCATCTCCCCCACCCCCCCACCCCGGAAGTACAGGGCACTGGCCGGGAGGGCTGCCTGTCGGGGGGAGCAGGCGTCGGGATGAACCTTCAGAGGCGGTGGATGGAGCCATGGTACAGCTCCGAGAGAACCGCAGCTGCCCAGTGGGGAGCCAAGGTGCACAGGTTTCCCATAGAGAGTGGGCACGGGGCAGAAACGGGCCACGGCCGATCACGGCCAGGGCCGCCCCGCAGGACCATGGCCTTGGCTTGAAAGCAGAGGCAGATCCAGGCGGGGCTGCCGCCTTGAGCACATGGCCGAGCAAGCTCGCTTCTGCCCTCGTGGGCTCGGCTGTGCGGTCTGTGGCACACTGGGGAAAAGATGGCCGCCGGCGTTCTCTAGCTGGCAGCACCAAGCCCCGGGGCTGCTTCCTACCCCTGGGAGCGTGTCCGGCCCCGACGGGACAGAAGCGGGCTTCTGTGAGCTTCCCAGCCTGGGCCTCCCAGGCTTCTGCTGTTGCCTGCTTGCAAGAGTGGAGAAGCCTGGGCCACTCTTGTGCCAGTAACGGCCTGGGCGTCCTTCCTTAACCTTTCAAGAAGGAACTTGTTGAATGGCAAGGAGGGCGATTATCTGACAGCACCGGGCTGCAGGCCAGCCTCTGGCCAAGCCATGCCTTGCTGGGCGCCCCCAGGCGGCTGCTGGGCCAGCAGGAGCTAGCACCCTGGCCGGTGCCCAGCATGGCGGCCTCTGTGGGCAGACGCTGCTCCAGGCTGGCCGGGCCGAGACTTTTCAGATGCGCGGTGCAGCCTGAGGCTCTGTGGCTCGCGCCTGCCTTCTCCACCTTTGATCTCTCAGAGGCTTTCTGTCCTACAAACCTCCTCAGCTGCTACACACAGCTCAGACTCTGCTTCCTGCAGGACCCCGCTGACACATGGCGCCACGAGCAGCCCAAACGGGGGTGTGGGGACTCGCTCACAACACAGGGGCCAGTGAGCGCCCCATCCTCGTTCCATCTTGGCCCAGGCAGTATGAGGAATACTCAAAAAGCTCATAGAAAATGCGTGTTTTGAAAAAACTGCGTAGGTTTTGAAATTTTGGCATCGAAATGAATTTATCTTTTAATTCTATTTTTCTACAAACTTGCTTTTAAATATTTATTTTATTTGAAATGCAGAGTTACCCAGAGAGAGAAAGAGATCTTCCAACTGCTGGTTCACTCCCCCAAATGCAAACGCAACAACCAGGGCTGAGCCAGACCAAAGCCTGGAGCCCGGAACCCCATCTGGGTCTCCCACACGGGTGGCAGGGACCCAAGTACTCAGGCCATCTTCTGCTGCCTTCCCAGGTGCATTATTAGCAGGGAGCTGGACAGGAAGTGGAGCAGCTGGGGCTCGGCTCCCAGGGGAGGCAGCGTCACCGTGTGCCCCAGCACTGGCCCTTGGGAGGAATGGGTGCCCCTGAGCGGGTGCTCTCCAAGGTGTGGGCTCCCTGACCGCCCTGGATCTTTGGAGCCTAGCAAGGTGGCGACTCCCCGCCTGCTGTGGTCCAGCCCCACCCTGCTCCTGTGCCGCGCAGCAGGGGTGCACTCAGGATTGGCTCCCACCCCCTGGCTGATAAATCATTTATCCCAGGCTGATAAATCAGGCGGAGTTGCAACATAACACAGTTGTAGATGTGTCAGGCCCGACAGGGAAATCAAGCGACTGTCATCCAAAGGAGTTGCACTAATTAGCGCTCGCGTCAGCAGGATGCAGCGATGCTGGTGGGCGTGCCCTCGGGCGTCTGATCTAGGGGACTGGAACATCAGCCCCCATGGGGAGAGTGGGCTGACCTGCGGACACACTTCTGGGAAACAGGGTTTCACACCCTGGCAGCGATCCCCGGCGCCTAACCCACATCGCCAGCCACAGAACTGGTTGTGGTTTTGTCACTGCATTTCCATGTGGTTTGCTCTTCGGCGAAGGATGTCATGAACCAGCATCTCCGAGAGAACATCGACTCCCACTCCAGCACCCGGCTCAAGGGCGCCTTCTCAGGGAGACTGCCCACCTCGCCCCACCTCGCCCCCCCCGCCCCACCTTGCCCCGCCCCACCCGCACGCGCCCCGCTCCCCCCCCTTCCTCACGCGCCTGTGTCTTTATGGGCCACTTTGGCGTCAAGTCCATTCAGCCTAGGTCTATCCTCCAGCCTGTACTGTGTACTTGTCCTGAGCCAGAACCATGGTGCCTTTAGCCCACGTCTTCCACACGTAGCACCAGTGACTGGTGTGGATGAAGCCCCACAAATATTCATGAAGAGTCACAAAAGTGAATGAGACTGTGGATACATGGATGAATGAATGAAGTGATTGGAATGACTGAAAAAATAAAACAGTGATAGCTACTGTGCCTTGAGGGTGCGCCCTCTGCGGGCGGCTGTTGGAAGCTCTTTGTAGGCATTTGTTAACTCCTTCCAGCAAGCCTCGGAGAAGACTGGCCGGCACCATAGCCCCACTTTGCAGATCAGGGAGCCGAGGCTGAGAGTCACTAAGGCCACTGGGAAGGTAGTGAGGGGCAGAACCAACCAGGACTCAGCCAGGCATGCCGGCTCTCATGCCTGACCTGTGTGCCACGCAGCGCTACCCACACGGCTGCTGAAAAGACATCCCGTGATACACACCAGCAGGTGCGCAGAGAGGCAGGGGGGTAAAGGACACGAAAACTCAGGGACTGTGGCTCTGCCACGGCACCCAGCCCCGGGAAGGCTTCCTGGGCGCCTCCTCCCAGGCCCCTTCCTGCAACTGTGTAGTAATTGGCTCCCATCCCCACGC